GGCTTGTTCCTCATCATCTCCGGCGTCGTGTCGCTCTTCATCTTCGGCTTCTGCTGGCTCAGTCCCGCCTTGCAGGATCTGCAAGCCACGGCGGCCAACTGCACGGTGCTGTCGGTGCAGCAGATCGGCGAGGTGTTCGAGTGCACCTTCACCTGTGGCACCGACTGCAGGGGCACCTCGCAGTACCCCTGCGTCCAGGTGTACGTGAACAACTCCGAGTCCAACTCCAGGGCGCTGCTACACAGCGACCAGCACCAGCTCCTGACCAACCCCAAGGTAAGGACTCGGGAGCTCCCGCCTAACGGTGCAGGTTCGAGGCCATCGTACGGGTTAGACCCCAGGGGAAGATTCGGAGCGTACTAATCTTGCTAGAAGGAGATAGGAGGCACTGGGTGCATGCACACATCTGTGGAGCTGCAGGGCTCCAGTCCTCAGGGTGCGTTTGCCCGCGGGGCGGTGGTACCCAGAGTCTCTCTGCAAACACTGATCTTAGCTGTTCTTAGGTTGGAGCTCCCTCCAATCCCAGGTGCAGCACCCACAGGACGGGTTTGCCAAACGCAAGGGGCAAAGAAAGTTAACTTTTCTTTTGAACATAGCCATGGGTTAGCGGGGACCCAGCTACTCCAGCATAAGGCCAACTAGCGCCTGAGCTTCAAACTGGCCTCAAGAAGTCCCAATGACGTGACATTTGAGAGGTTGAAGGGGTCTCATCGCTCCTTGAAAATCCTTAGGTTTTTTGCCTTTTAGTTCTAAACAGAGGTGTTTTAACTTGAGGTCTAAAGATGGGCTTTTGGGGGGTGGGGTGGAGGTAGGGATGGAAACCAATAGCAGTCAGGAATCCAGTGAGAAATTCAGATTAGGTTGAGTGTGTTTGGTGGGGGGCTTCGTGGGGTCCTAGCCACTCTGGGTGTTTGGGGACAATCGGGAGCAGTTGGAGAACAGTAAAAGTTACCAGAAATAGAAAGCCCTCGGTGAAATATACCAAGCAGCCCTTTCCTGACAACTTCTTTTGTTGTCACAAGCTGGAAAAAAAAATGAAAAAAGGAGGAAAAAATAGACAAAACCTGGTTAGGACTTGCGAGCTTCTGGAGAACAGAAAGGGAGACTCAGAAAAGTTCCGGGGTGGGGGGGGCACTTTTAAAAAAGCAGTGTCCTCGGTCCGTGAACTAATTGAGCTTTGTAGCGCTCCTGCTTCTGCAGGGGGGTACCTTTGATGGCTTTGGACTTCTGTGCGGCCAACTAAAGGTGTGTGTGTGTGTGTATGTGTTTATTTAAGTTGCTGACTCTTTTTACTTTGTGAGGGCTACGCTAGAGGATGAGCAGAAGAAATCATGCCAAAGAAAATGGATTCTGTGCACCCAGAAACACGTTCTGTTAAATGTGACAAGATAAATTAATCTGAAACGGAATTAATATTTTAAACTAGCTCGCCATCGCTCTGCGGAGAAAGTCAAGAGTAGCTCGTTGATTTGGAAAGTTAGAAGTAATTACTCTTTAGAAATACAATTGACTCCTCGTTGGAAGAGTCTCCTGGTAATGCATGAAGATTTGTTTGCTTTAAATTTGAAGATAATAGGGAACAATTAATGTAGAAATAAACTTTTCTAACACAGAATCTAATGTCCAAGCCCCTGAATGAGTCTCAGAGACTGATGTGAGTTAATCTGCTTAGTGCTTAGTAATCTAAAAAGAACTCTTGTGGTTTTAGAAAAACATTTTTTAAAAAAATCAGGATTAAATAAAAATATCTATTAAAGGTGTCAAGTAGTAATTTAGTGATTTAGAAGATACTCTGTAGTTTGTCATTTAGGAGTGGGCATAGTTGTTGAAACACCACTAATTATTCTTGAGATAGATTATTATGGGTAGCTTTAATCAATGTTATACATAGGTATATAAGTACATACTAATAGATGGTTAATATCTAATTTTAGCATAGACAAATTAGAATTTACCACAGAAGACAACTTCACAATTTCCAGGAAGGAACTGGCAACAGAAGTAAATTGGAATCATTAGGACATTGATTCTTAATTCACTTGAAAGTAATCATAATGTTTTATGTAATACTAAAGTTCTCTCTCTCTCTCTCTCTCTCTCTCTCCTTGTAAATAATCTCATTTTTCCTTCAGTGCCATTTAAGAACTTGGCAATAATTGCTTTGAAGAGGTACCAAACAATATCTTAAGGAAGACTATTCACAAAATTGTCAGAACTGGAAAAAAAAAAACGACATATTTTATGGTCCAGAAAGTGATGAATGACCTCTCAATCATTTTAGGCAAGGTTTCCTCTGCCAAATATACATCTTTGTCCAAATTATGATGTATTGTAGTATTTATAGAACAAACATCACTTTTTTGTCAATTAAAGTGTTCAATTTGGAAATTTTTGTAAGCATTGGGTAATGGAAAATTCAGTGTAACCAAAATACCATGTCAGAGTCAGGTGCATAATGAGATTTTGTTTCTGTGGTGTCCTTGCAACTAGACAGTCCCTGTTGCCTGGTCCCATTGCATATTGGTTACACAGAGCTGTGTCCTACCTACCTTACTTTTAATCTCCCAATCTATTCCTTTCAGGTCCCATTCACATCTCACATTCTTACCAAATTCAACTATCACAAGGAACTGTTAGGAAGTCCCTTCTCATGTAAATAGAGCAATTACTTTTTCCTGGAGTTCCCTAAAAGTATTACAGCCAAAGACAGGGAGGGAACAGATGTTACAGGTATGTAACTTGTTGAGCTGTGGACCTCTGAGGAAATGCTGACCTTCCACTAACAGTTCCTTTAGAGTATCTTTATTTATGCTTTTCATCAGTTCCTTATTTTCCAAGGGAATCACTGTGTCTAGTCACGGAGTATTCAAGTCGTCTAAGGTTTGGTTAAGGATATGACCCACTACATGGATTAACCATAGCACAAGCTTCCTCTGGCAGCTGCTCCCAACATTGTGCTGGCTCTTTGTGACTCACGTGTGTGTATGTGAAGCCCTCTGGTTCTCAACCTGGGAACTTTAAAAATAGATTCTTGTGCTTAGGTCCAATTTTCATGTGCGTTGATTTGGTGTTAGATGGGGCCTGAGTATTGTAGCTTCCAGAGTTGTGCAAGTGATGGTAATATGGATCCAAGAGATGAAAATTGTATCTTGGGAAGTGCACTCATCTGCTCTGCAAGAAAAGCACCTGACCTCAAAACGAATTCGCTGTGATTCATGTTTAAGTTTTCAACATAAAAGATGTGGATGCCACTGAATATAGAAAGGGGTATTAAAATAGGGACTAAGAGAAATTCTGAAGGGAAGGAAGGGAGTCATTTAAAACTTGTGTGTGAAGCTCATTTTAAATTGATTAGTTTAAATGAACGTGCACAGTTGTACACACTTGCTTTTGCTGTTGCCTACTTTGGATGGCAAAGAAAAGATGAATTTAGGTGTTGCCCTCTGCTGTGTGGCATGAGAGTGGGTGATTGGAGACATGCTCTGTGTTTAAATTTGTTTTGAAGGACCCACCCTTTAAAAATAAAAAATGCTAAAAACAAAGACTAAGTGTTTCAAAACCGATACTTAAGGAGAGTAGAAAACCTTAACAGGGATGGAGAAAGGCTTTTATCCTGCAAAGCATCCTACAGGGTAGAAGCACAAATCAAGGCAATGTGGCTGCCAGTCACTTTAGCAAAGGACCTTCAGACCCACACTCATGTGCCCCATCCCCGAATATGCAAGGACAGCATGGCTTCTGAGGAAGTCCCTGAGCACTGGCCTGTGTGTTCAGCTTGATGTACTTATACTGTAAGGTGAAATCTGTGAGACCAGAGCTGCATAAAGACAAGATAAGTGGAGTTGTGCCAATACCTCTAGTCTTTATTTGTCCAAAAGAAATGGCTTTCTTTGGATTTTTCTTTGATGATATTGTTAAATAATATGTTAATTACATGTAATTATATATTGGTAGATGACAAATAGATACATTGAGAGAGAGAGAGAGAGAGAAAGAAAAAGAGAAAGAAAGAAAGGAGAGATAGATGGATGATAGATTGATTGATTCAATTGAGCTTCTGGTCCTTCAAAATCTATTGTGGCCAAGGACAGGGCAGAAACCTTCAAGACATATAAAGATGAGCTTTGTTCATTAGTAGTTAGTTGGTGCTATGTATATTGCCCTGTTCCAGACCAGAACAGAGATCAAAGTTCCTGCATTCACAGAGCTTGCATTTTGGTGCAGGAAACAGGCATAAGTAAATTTATAATGGAATTTCATGTAGTGATAGATTTTTAAAAGCTCTGGCAGGATGAGAGCATGGCTAGTGACAGAAATGACATGGAACTGCCTTTGTTGCATACAAGATGCTCACAGCAAGTGGGTCTGATGAAATGGCCATTACAGAGGCCAGAAGCTTTCCAGGGTCCCCAGAGACTAAAAGGACAGAGAGAAACAAGGCCCACAGCTCTTTGGAGAAAGACATTTATTTCCACATGCTGAACAGATAGCAAATGCAGAGACCCTGGGACAAGTGGCCACTGGGTCTGTTTGATGAACAGTGGGTCCAACAATGGGTGGGATTGGGCCACAGAGAGCCCGGCATTGAGCAGAGGGAGGAGGCCTTGGAGTCCTGGAGAGCAGAGCTTTTTGTTTATTATATACATGATGGTAAGGTCACTACTTGACACTGTGCAAAGCTCAGATATAATCTAATGACTTTTAAAGATCTGACCCATTCATCTGGCTGCTGGAAATAATGTGTGTGCATGTCTGCATGTGTGCTCACTTGTGCAGAGTGAGAAGTAGAGGCCAGTTTGGACACTGGGAGCTTTCTGAGCAAGAATGGGCAGGAGAGAGTGGTGGCCTGGGTCAGTGGGCACCTGTGGTTAAGATTTATTGAACTGGATATGACTAATGAAGGCAAGGGGAATTGAAGGTGGCCTCAAAGTGTTTGGCAAGCACAGCTGGGCCAATGGTGGTGCCTTTGCCAAAGAGGGAGGCTTCAGATAGGTGGATGTAGGTGAGAATCAAGGGTTCCATTTCACTTGTGTCTAACAGGCACAGAAACAAAAGTGAATCTTTGAGTTTCAGCCCCCAAGATGATGGCCTTACACAGTGGTTCTCAACCTTCCTAATGCTGCGACCCTTTAATACAGTTCCTCAAGCTGTGGTGATTCCCAGCCGTAATTTTGCTACTGTTATGTTAATATGTTATGTAAATCATAGTGTAAATATTCGATATTTTGCCTCAGAGGGATTTCTACCTGTAACCACTGGCTTAGCAGAAGACCTAT